GGTGTCTTTTAACCTCAGGGCTAGATATCAAGTATTGGCCGTTGGCTGTGCGACAAGCTGGCGAGCAGCTGTGGAGCTGCGCTATGTGCGCGCTGGGGGCGCCGCCCCGTCCGATGCATCCCTTTGGCACTCAAATGCACGCGCGTCTACGTTAGCGGCAGCGTTCCGTCTGGTTGGTCCTGCGCCGCAAGCTCCCAGTTCGTATCTTGTATTATTGCCCAACAACCAGCTGGTTATCAGCTCAGCGATTTATCCTGTTGGTCCGCCTCCACCGCTTGGATCCGAGTTTGCGGACGTTCTGCCGCCTCGACGCTGGCACTCGACTAAGTCGCCTGATCCTCGGCTCTCTCGCCTATTGGGGCGGGACCAACATGTTTTCAGTCTTCTGACGCAGAAGGGTCAGAGTCATCGGAGTCTTCTAAGGGATTTGTTGAATAGGATCTGTTCAAGAGCCAACAGGCAGAGACTCGTACTTGGGATGAACAGGGTCAGGGTGGAAGTAAGGGATTAGCGCCAAAAGGTTCCCTTCCGAGCCCTAGTGGTTTAGATAGCCCAGCCCTAGAGAGTCCTTCAAGCCTGCAAGCGAGTACGCCTGTGCGTCTGCAAGTGTGCAAAATGGTTCCAACCCGAGGCCTAGTGGTTTAGATAGCCCAGTCCCGGTGCAAGCGACTCCTGCAAGCCTGCAAATGTGTGCGTCTGTGCGTCCGCAAGTGTGCAAAACGGTTCCAACCCGAGCCCTAGTCGTTTAGATAGCCCAGCCTGCGAGCGTGTGCAAAATGGTTCCAACCCGAGCCCTAGTGGTTTAAATAGCCCGGTCCCGGGTTGGTCCTTCAAGCCTGTAAACGAATACGCCTGGGCATCGCGCCGAATGGTTCCATCCCGACCCCTAGTGGTTTAGATAGCCTGATCCCGGGGGAGTTCTTCAAGCCTGCAAATGTGCGCGCATGTGCATCCGTCAATGTGTCTGATGGTTCGGTCTTGAGCTCTGGTAGCGTCGAGAACCTTATCCCTTCAAGTCCTACAACACCTAAGAAGGTCTGGTCTGCAGATGAAGCTGACATTGACTCTTTGGCTGCGGAAAAGCTCCATCGAGGTTTGTTTTCTCACAGGGATGTTGAGGAAGTCTTGACTACGTTCCGCTTTTAGTCAGGAGACCGAGGCCTGAGACCTTTTCATGCTGCCCACAAGGGTTTAGAGCCTGGGTGTTGGCTTTCAGGTGCCTTTGTACACGGCAGTTGTTGTGATAAAGAAGAGCGTAGATAAGCTTCCAGGCCTCACAGCTTACCTTGCAAGGGCACTTACCCAACGAACGGGTGTAGAGTGCGCAGCAGTTGGGTTTTCCATCAATGTCAGCGTGCAGGCTCATCATCGAGATTCCCAGAATGCTCTAGGTGTAGGGGCTGCGGCATGGCAAGTCTCAGGTTCGTGTCAAGGTGCTGGCATTTGGACCGGTGAGCATTGGAATCCTCTTGGTCCTGATGAGTGGGTCAAGTTCGATGGTCGATGTTGGCATGAGACGCCGCCTTGAGAGTCTGGGAACAAGATCCTGGCGACAGGGTACACCCCAAGAAACTTACATAAGTTGTCCCATGACTTGAACGCTTTTCCTGCACCGAATCCGGACTTGACTGCATCTCCTTCCAGCAAGAGACGCCGGGGTGAGCGTGCCAAACTCGCCGCAGTCAAGCCCTGCCCAGAAGAGCTAGAGATCGAAGTTCCTTCGTTGGAGAATTAGGGTGAAGTCATTGAAGAATACCGGGAGATGTATCATCGGTTAGCAGTCCTTGTGTGTCAACTCGGGAGATCCGTTGCTTCACATGCGGAAAGTGGGACCATCGATCCAGCTGAGCTTGAGCTACTAAGGGGGTTGTCTGCAGAAAAGGCTGAGGTTGAGTAGCTCCATCAGCATGCTGACTTTCAAAGATTGGAGTCGCAGGTTTCCGTTGTTCGAGCTGTTGGAGCCGTGCAGGAACATTTGGAAGTGCAACCAATTCGTCATACCCGACTGGTCTCGAATCAAGAGGTGAATGAAAATCTTGAGGCTTGGGCGCCCACAATGAGGTCTGAGTACCAATCTCTCTCTTGGGCAAAGGGGCTATTGAAGAAGTTTCAGATGATCAGGTACGTGCCTGGCTTGAGGCTGGGGAAGATGTAGAAGTGTTGCGGTATTCCGTCAGAGAAACCGCCTGAGCCTCCAGCCACAACCATCCACGAAGCCCAGAGCTTCATGGGTGAATGCTGTGGCTTACCGCGAGGTCTAGACCAGCCATTAATTTTCCTGTGGCGAGGGCAGCGCAGTTGTGCACGAAGAGACCACAAGATTCTCTGTTGATTGGGCGAGATGTTCTGTCGTACCTCCGGGGATCAGCTGATCTGGGTATTTTGCATGGTCCTGCGCCTGGCGACCGGGGTGTTTATGAGTAGTTCCCACGTTCTATCACGGAATCTTCCTTGCACGGGTATACCGATATCTCGTTCGGACCCGTAGCAGGCCGATCTCATTAAACATTTGTCATTTCTTGGGCTTCGGCCCCGGTCTATTGGGAAAGTAGTCGGCAGTCCCTTACCGCCTTAAGCACGGCAGAAGCCGAACTTATCGGCATAGTGTGTGGTTCTCAAATCTTTGAAGGCGTAGCAGTGCTCATCGTCCGTGTGACCAAACTTTGTACTCCAACAACTCGGCAGACATTGCCATTGCTTCCGGGCCACCCACTTCTTAGAGGACTCGTCATCTGAGATTGAGGTCTGCCGCCTGGAATCTGGTCTAGTGCAACTGTACCATTTGAGAGGTGAATGGATGACTGCAGACACGCTTACTAAGGCTATGGCCCCGAAGAAGTTTGCTGCGATGATGTCTCTACTGGGAGTGTCAGTGTAAGGGATACGGAATCAGATTGCAAGGCTCGCGCTGTCCCGTGGAGCTCTGGCAGTGTTGGTTCTGAGCTTAGCGTTGCTACTGAAGGGTCAGGCTGAAGTGTCTGTCCGAGGGCCGAGGGCTGCACATGGCTTTCAGGAATTGCCATCGCTGTGGATTTGTGGGAGCATCTTGATAGTGGTTCTTTTTATCATTTTATTTATTTTGCATAATTTTCTTTATGTTGGGAGGGCGTAAAGTGGTTCGCTCGAGTCATTGAGCGGCAATACAGTCGAGCACATGCGGTTAAGAGCTCTGGAGCCTCAGCATCTTCGCCTCCTTCACCTCCGCGTGAGCAAGTCCTATTGTCACCACCTCTGGTGTCCCATGGGCTGCCCCAATCGTGCGTTGTTGAACGTCCTCAAATTGCACATGTGCCATCCACCTTGGCGCGAATCCCTGGAAACTTGGAAGCATTCTTTATTGCCACCGGGAAAAGATGGTATCAAGATCCGAACTGCGCGGATACTAGAAACAGAATCACAAAGCGTTTTCTTCCATGTGGTCGATGGTAGACAGAGAATTAGATCAAAAAGGCCAGGAATTGGAAGATATTGTATGCCTTTCTTTCCTCAATTTTCCCGCAGGCCATCAGGCATCCCATAGGGTATGAGGTCTTTTTCAATAGTCGCAAGGATCATCCAGAGTCAATATCGCTTCCTCATTTCTTTTCCTATAGAGGTTGCTGGGCGTTTATATGATCCACATCAGAAAAATCTCAAAAGGCCTTGAGTCCAATCAAGGATTGAACTAGTAGGAGCGGAGGCTAGTAGTCCATGAGCTATGGCTTGACCAAAGGTCGCGGGGGGAGTGTTCGGAGAATGAACCCCTGCGTAAGGATGCCACGTACTTCCTGGAGGCCTTTTCTCTTTCGAAGCAAAAGTGTAGTGCCCGCAGGGTTGAAGGGTTAGGGTTCCCCCCCCCCCCCCTGCGCTCTTTCTGCTCCTGACTGTCTGCGGTCCCAGTGCAAAGTGCGTCGCCGAGCACGGAATCAGCTACGGCAGGGGGGGGGGGTGGGGGCGCTCGGCAAAAACATCACTGAGAAGTGGCGTGTAAGGTTCAGGGACATATCGCCTACCACTACTTGTGATGGCGGCATAAACCGCATGCTCCGTGTCCCAGACTGGCAGAAGAGACGATGTATTCCGGTGCAGGATGTCTCGTGGACCACACCCTACCAAGCTGTAGCAGCTGAAAGACTATATCGGCTGGAAACGCCGACGTGCTCTGCAGGGCTCGGAGCTTCTTGGGTGCCTGGGCCCCTCCACTGCAACCTGTCATGAGGAACCACATCGGGAAGATGCGACGGGTAGTGCGCGCTCACGAACCCGCGACATCTGCGGGCGGGTCATGACAGTGTCTGTCAAGATGCGCTTGCTGCGTAGTGGGCCGCAGCTGCGCGGCAGAGCACCACTGCCACCTTGCTCAAAAGCTCTTGCTTGACCACAGCTGGATCACGCCGGAGAGCCAAGCCAGCCGCGAGCGCGATGCCATGGATGATGACAGCCGCTTCTTTGTCATAACCCCGCTGTGCCTCCAGCACCACAGGTTGGAAGCCCTTCCTGCCTGGTCACACTTCCTGGCGGTATCGAGGTGGGAGCGCTTGAGGTTGGCGTAAGCAGCAGCCGCTGCTCCAGCACCGGACGCGGCAGCCCGCCAATGAGGCCGGGTCTCTGGGCGGCGGCCGCCTTCAGGGACTGGAAGCTCGGTCAGGAGGTTGGGAGCCTCCAACGTGGGGCGCAAGCCGCCCAAATCACAGTAGTCATGGAGGACATCCCGTGAAAGTCCCATCTGCTGCGATTGTAGGAGCATGAGTCACTTGATACGAATCGCCGTCTGATGAGCCGGCTTGAGTCCAGCTATGCAGTGAAAATAGATTGCCCATGAGCGCTGTTGCGCTGTGCTTTCTTTTCAGTTGGTAGAGCGGAGCTGGTTGAGACCAACATCTGCAGAGCTATGGACCCCTGGGCCGAATACCTGGCACGGAGGTCACATGCTGTCGATGGCCGTGAAGGTCATGATCGTAATGCGGGGCAGGTCGGTATGTCAGTAGAGTTTTCCCCTTTCGCTCGCGGAGCGCTTGGCTATGGTGGTTCAGGTGATCCTTCTTCGTCGTCTCAAAGGGAACGAACGGGTCAAGAGAATCTCGGGTGTCATGGTCGCAGCGAAGATGCGAGCTCTCGAATGCCCATGTTTCCCACCTCTTTTCTTCAAGGGACAAGTGGCGGATTTGGTGGACCTACGACCTTTCTTCCCACAATGGCGTCGCCAATGTTCGGAACTTTGCCAGTGGGGAACCCTGGGGCGTGGCCGTTTTCGTGGTCAAGCTTCGCGCCTACGAGTGTTACTGCCTTCGCGACTCCTGGACCTACAAGCCGACCGACAGAGTCTCCTTTTACCTTCGCGACTAACGGACCGTCGGCTTTCGTGCCCAATGGATCTACAGCTTCTGCAGCCAATGGACCCTCCATCAGACCGCCTTTCAATGGTACTTCGATGCCCAGCACCGCACCTCGGGTGGATACTGCAGCGGTCCGCTGCTCCTGGAAAAGAAGAGACTGCCAAGGCGGAGAGCGCTTTCGAGGGGCTTGGCATGAGGTCCCCCCCGACTCAGGGGAGAAATCCGCCGGATCAAGCGGAGAGATTCATTGCAGCCATCATAGGGGAGAAGCGGTCCATCCCAAGCTGGAGCGGTCAGCCCAATACGCTACGTTCATGGCTTAAACTTCTTCTGGCTCATTGGGAATCAGAAACAACAGTTCTCAAGGAGAAGTGGGGCATCAGGTTGTACCAGTCCTTCCCAGAGAACTCCGATCCTCGTCGCATCGCTGATCAAATTGAGCTTCACGATGTTCTATCTGCACGAGGATATGGCATGATTTTGACATGTCTGATGCAGAAATACAAGCCGTATCTTGACGTTGTTGGACCTGCTTCGATCGATCGATTCTTTTATGGAGATGACAGGGCAAAGGGTCAAAGCTTTGCCAGCTACATCGCTCAAAAGCAGGTGGCTCGTCAAGAAATGGAGTCCAATCTCAACGAGAAAGTCAGCGAGAAGATTGCAGGCAGGATCTTGTGGAGGCACGCTCACCTGTCCGAATTCCAAAGAGAGTTGGTGGCACTTCGAGATGTCAACACTCTGCTCAGCTTCGAGCAGGTAGCAAGCCTGTTGCGCCCTCTGGACAGGCCCGAGTTGCGGCAAAGAAGCGGCCAAGCACTATCCGGCGACGATGGCTCCGGAAGGCTTTGACCAAGAAGCTGGAGAAGATGGCGACAGTCACGACGACAGCTACTCCTCGGAAGAAGACCTTGCAGATGAGGAGGAGCTGGGGACGGAGAACTTGATGTTCGGGGGACAGGGAGTATGACGAGTCTGAGGCGGTCTACGTGCAGGCTTATGCCACCGCTTACGTTACGTCCGAAGGGATATGCAAAACCGACGCAAGGAGCGTGGCTATGTCAAGCACCGCGGTCGCCGAGAAGATCGTCACAGTTCCTCACCACGTCGCCTGCGGACCTCATCTTCCTCAAGGCCACATCGGGACAAGCCTTCTTTCCGCCAGTCAGGTTCCGGAAGCCGCCACAACAAAATGCTCAGAGGCAATGCCGAGGACCTGCAGTCTCGCACAAGATGCTACAACTGCCGGGAGTTGGGACATTTTGCTAGAGATTGTCCTCTTAAGGGATCCGGAAAGGGTTCAGCTGCTCGGCTCGGCAAGTTCGGGCAAGCAGGTGAGTTTTGTCGTGTGCCGTGGGGAGTTGGTGCTTCTTCGGTGTACATGCAACACAGCATATCCAATGTCCCCAGTCTCTCCAATCCTGTCCTGAACCGCATCGTCACGATCTACGCTGGTGTTCGTGTAAAGGGTTGTGAGGCCTTGGTTGACACGGCAGCGGAGGACGCCGTCATAGGCGACAGATCCTTACTGGCCTTGCAGAAGGAGCTGACAACGCATGGTTTGCAAACAGTTTCGGTGGTATCTTCGGTAGACGCTCTTCCTTGCGCAGGCATCGGTGGCGAGGCCACCAGCTGCGGCGTTGTCGACGTCCCCACAGCGGTTGCCGGACCCCTTGGCATCGTCAGGTTCACCGTTCTCAAGGACAACGACCGTTTTCAGACCCCGCCGCTTTTGCCGATCTCCTATTTGGAGGCTATCCGGTCTATCATCGACTTGAGTCGAGACGAGCTGTCAACACCGGATGGGCACAAAACGGCCACGCAAAGGCTCTCGTCTGGCCATCGTGCGGTGAACATCTTGGACTTCCGCACCACACCTTGGAAGTTGCCCTCCAACCTGTGCAACTCCATTGGTCGCGACCCCTTTGCTTTGCCGCCGGGCTCTGTTTTTGGGGGAGGCGAGTGCGGGTGCAGCTGGTGAAGCGGTTGAGATGGCAGCGAATTCCAAAGCGGATGCCGTGACTGCTGCCGTGGCTGACAACCCACAGGCGTCTACACGCAGTCCACAGGCGTCTTCATGCAACCCATCGGTGTCTACGAACAGTACGCAGGCGCCTACGCAGTCTTCCACTTTCAATGGGGCCACATCACTCGGGAGTTCATCATCAAGGAGCGAGAAAGCCACAGATTTGGCCAAAGCGTACATGAAGGAGTCCAAGTACGACTACGCCCACCTTGAAGACGTGATTCGACTTCTACCCCTCAAACCAAAGTCTTCTCTGCGTTCGGCCATGAAGGTAAAGGACGCTACAAGTGGCGTTCGGGCTCTATGCGCATGGCAATTTCGTTGGGATTGTCAACACCAGTGAGAGCCTCAAGGAAGTGTGCAAATTCCTGAACCAGTGGGCGAAACACCACTTTCCCAAGGATTTCAAATGGACGTCCTTAGCCGTGAATGTTCAGCTAGCCTCGGATGTTCATAGTGACTGCCACAACGCGAAGAACACTGACAACGTCTCGGTGTCTGTCGGCAGCTTCTCAGGAGGCGAGCTGTGGCTAGCTTTGGACGACCTTCAGGGGTTTCATGATGAAGATGTTCGTTGGAGAGTAAAAAATGGAGTTCGTTGGCCGGGACGCCTAATCAACACCCATTGCACACCAGTGAGATTCAACCCCCATTGCAAGCACGCCACAATGCCTTGGAAAAGGTTGGAGAGCCGTGTTGATAGCCTACACCTCTAGGGCAGTCCAAGCCGAAATGGACAAAGGCACACACGAAAGACTTTGTCAGCTTGGTTTCAGAGTGCCTCGAGGGCTAATTACAGGTAGGGTCAGGTCCAAGACATCACTGGTCGTGCGAGCATGAACAACAGCATGAGTCAGAAGATGAGTCAGACAGGTCGCGCGAGCTGATGTATGAGAATGATTGGTGCAATGTGAACAGACAATCATCTCTGCGTTCGACCGCAGCGAACATGTTCAAGCGTCTGATCTTGAATACCGCCGTATGGGTAGCCAACATCTTCCCAGTGAGCCTCGGGCAAGCCATGTCTCTTCAAGCTCGAGCCGAGAAGATGGTGGCTGGTGGCAACACGCAGGAGGAGCTACCTCCGAAACGCCTGGGCGCCAAGAAGTCCATCAGCGCTTGGAAAAGGATGACCTTGGCTATCATGAAGATGTTGTCTACGGCGCGGGATCAGTTGATCGTGAATTTCCTGGTGGAGCGCAACGCAAGCCTTCAAGACCAACCGCAGCCAGCGACAACGTCATCGAGCACGACTACAAGCCACAAGAAGGAAGCCAAGGAACCGTTGAACCAAGGCATCGGGAATCCTCTCAAGAAGTCCACGGTTCACAAGAAGTCTCCGGTAGCCATGGAGAAGTGCCAGCACCCGGCAGACTCGTTGAGGTGCAGGGGCAACGCGTGGACGAGATGGTGGACGTGCACAGCATGTGGTGCGAGGTGGAATCGCCCGCCCGAGGATGTGAACCCAGAGTTGGCGAAGAAAGCAGAGGAAGTGACGGTGAACGACGAAGCCTTCAAGATTCGACTGCGCAAAGGGTGGAATATCCGAAATATCTCCCACCACCTCGAGGCAGGCTCGACCAGGGAGCTCGCGAGGTACAACTGGACCATCTGGGCAGGCCGATGACCAACTTGGAGAACGACAAGCCTGCCAGCTCGAGCAGCACTGGTCCTACTACCACTCGGAAGTTCCGCCAACTGCGCGAATTCGGAAGACCTCGAGAGGATTGCGGCCACGACAAAGAAGCAAGACAAAGGGCTTCAGCGACCAGGTCGAGACCTTCGAGCTGAACACGGATTCGGAGGCATGGTCGGACATCTCCATAGAGAACCCCGACCTGGAAAGCCAAGAGTGAACGGGGCCGTGATCGTGTCTGGCGACGAAGTGGCCAAAGGCAAGACCAGACCGTTAAGCAACCTCAGTGGGATTTTGCGAAAAAGGGGCTGGGTCCTACAAGCGGTGATGATTCACTCTGGGACAACCAAAGGATTGTCTGCAGTGGTCAGCGCATCTCCAGCAATGGAACGAGGTGCTTCAGCAGGAACAGCTCGACAACAAACACCACCATGTGAGACGTTACGTGCTCAAAAAGAACGATGTGAAGTCCGATTGGTTGGCAGATGGTTATGGTGTCAAAAGGCCGCTGTCCGAAGCTCAGAGCCATCGTCTACAAAACAAAATGCGCCAATCTATCCATGTGGAGGAGCTCTATTCACCGCCTCGGGTGACCAAGAAGGCAGGTCAACCGGCAACCCATCGTCCAGCACATCTACCACGTCGTCTGACATTCAACGAGGTCGTCGGGATCGACTTGATGTTCTGGAGGCGCAAGGTTTTGCTCAACGTGATTTGTTGGGGCGCGAACTACCAGTACGTGGAGCAGATACCGGACAAGAGCACTGATCATTTGCAAAACTGAGATAGCATAGCGCAGGTTGTGCGGATTGATCAACTGCGGCGTGGGCAAAATTGCCGGAGAGGGCGAAGGATGGGAGTCGTCCTCTCCTGTCACAGGAGGGCTGCGCCTGCACCTGGCGGTGCGGTTTGAGAGGCACTTTCGGGACGGAACCATCTCTGGAATTGGCTTTGCTTAGCCTGAGGAGCTTTCACTCCTGCATGGAGGGTCTTCTGTTGGGAGGCCTTGGGCGGGGGAGTGACCTGCGTTGGGGATTCCGGTGGCTTATAGGGGGCAGCACGCAGTCGCGGGGTAGGTACTGCTGACGGAGATGTTCGAGTTGCTATGGGGTTAGGTGGAGTGTGTGAAAGCTGAGTCTGTGGGTGTGATGAGTGAGATTTTGAAATGGGGGCATGAGGGTGTAGGAAGAAAAAGAGCTGCAATTGCTGAATGACGGGGCATTGCTTTGTGTGTCGGGGAGCGCTCTCCACTTTGACATCACAGGCAGGGCAGGGAGACAGGCGGGTTAGAACATACATCTTAGAGGTGTTATTACCCGCAGAGGCCTTGTAGGAGTCCCATTCTGTTCTGTGTTTTTTTGTAAGGTGGAATGCTATTTTCGTCGTGGAGGCTAGCCAAGAGTCGCAGAGCAGGCAGGTTTGTGTAAGCCGCCGGCCTAGATCTCCAGTGATGAGCTCAAGGAAAGTCTGTCCTCCGGTCTGCTGCAGCAACTCTGTGCACATGCGTGAGGTGAGCGGCGCTGTGTCTAGCTGCAAGGTGAGCTGTACAGAGGGATTGTCTGCAGTCTGCGGGTCTGATAAGGGCTCGACCACCTGGCTGGAGGAATCCTCACTCGCCCTGGGGTGAACCGCGTCATTCCGCGTGACTGCCGCAGGTCTAGAGAGCTTAAATCCGTCCTGTCGACAGACTCGGCGCTCAACATGTTGCTGTAGGTTATGCCAATTCTTGAACTTCACCTGGCAGTTAGAGCATTGCGGCATGCCCCCCACTGAGTGCTTCAGACGTGAAAATTCAAGAGGTGGCAGGGCTGGGGCCGGGTGCTTGACAATGCGGTGTGTTCGCAGGCCAGCCGCAGTGCGAAAGACCTTGCCACAACAGACGTGCATGGGCACGTCCGGGGAGGGATCGTTATCAACTTCCTTGAGTAGCTTGCGATAAGAAGCTACTATCTCCTCCGCCGTTTGCAAAGTGGAGGGAATGGTTAGAATATCCTCGTTAGGCCAGGCTCCAGACTGAGCGAGGGGCAGAGACTGCTTGGTAGCTGAGGCTGATGCTGATGTGGAGCAGGAGGTGACCTCACACGCTGGAGTTGCATGCAGACGCTTGCGAAGCGAGTCTAGGCGCTGGGCCGAGCGATCATGGAGCTGCTGCAGTGGAGGGACAAGTTTAAGACGTGTGTAAAGCGCAGC